AAATATTCCACAGTTGGTCTCTGAGCGTTTATTGTTACACCTTCGGTTCTTTTGTTATCATGATGTTAAATATTTGACAAAATCTGTGAAAATTTAGGACTGAAATTTGAAATGTATAAACTTTAGGGACTAAAACAATATTTAAAAAAACAAAAATTAATTTTCCCAAATAGTCTCAAAATTTAATCTCTAATCTACACAGATTTCATCAAATTTTAACGCCTAATTCAGTGAAATACCGAAATTGAAACAAAATAAAACTTTAAGAATCATCTAAAAACTCAGGGAACATTTATAAAATTAACCCAAAATAATATATTCAAATATCAATTCTCTAAAAGCAAATTCCTCGAATTAGAAAATCATCCCAAAATCAACACAACAATATTTTGGAAAATTCTATCTTCGGGTATGTAAATATGCCTTTCTGTTTCTCTTAAAAGAAAAAGTTTAGCTCGCCATTGATATCCTTTAAGAAATTTAAAGAGAGGATAGAAAATAAGTGTAACTGTTTATATATATAAATCAGACACTTTTTTTTTTTTTTTTACGAGAATAGTATATTCAAAAATCAGTTATCTAAAACCGAATTTTTCTAATTAGAAAATCATCCCAAATTCAACACAACAACGATTTTTGGTAAATTTTGTATTCGGGTACGAAAATTTTTTTTACTTATGTACTTTTTTAGTTTAATGTTTACTTCGGGAGAGTTTGTCCCGTAATCACATTTAATTTTGACCAGATCAAACTGATCCAACCGCCAAAATCATCTCTCTGATCCCTTGCGTTGGTCATTAAAGTTTTGAAATAAATATACCTTAGGAAAGTACTGGTGCAGTAAAAACTAGAAAAACCCTAATAAAACATACCCATGAAAAGAAATTCTCAGAAACAACAATATTAGGCACAGAGTGACTCTTACTCAAAACTGAAATTCATTATAAGAAATTAAAAAACAAAAACAAAGAAAAGAAAAAATAAATTCCTCTGATTGAATATTGTAAAAGAAAGAATAACCTAGTTTCCACATATCCAGGCAAAATTAAAAAAAAAAAAAAAAAGTAATTCTATTACTTGTCTTTATTGTTATAGGTAGATAGGGCGCAATATAACGCCATAGTAGAAGAAGAAGAAGTCAGCCTTTTTTTATACTCAGAGACAGAAGGATATAAATGCATCAGCTTGCTGATACTATGTTGATCCAAATAATAATTGGCCTTTTGCGATTCACCAATAATATTATTATTATTAATAATAATATTTTTGCCTTCAGATTTCTTCTGGTATTCTTCAGGAGGAGGAACTACTTTTGTGGGACGTTCTAAAGTTGGAGACTGTGGTCGAGGATAATAGAAATCTGTAGGAAAGAAGTAATATTGCATACCCGCCATGAGAGGAGAAGAAGACGTTTAACCAAATATTGCTTTGTGATTTTTGATTTTACTATTGTGTCTAAAACAAGGTCATTAGTGTATAAATAATAGGATTCATGTTACCGACCTTTGCCTTGGGCCACAACTTATCTTTAGGCTCTCCAATGTGTAGGTCAACTTCTAGTCTTCTAGACTAAATAGAAATTTCTTTTCTTTTCTCTTTTTTTTTTTTTGGGACTTAAAAGAGAAGTTTCTTCTTTATAATATCAACAAAAATAAACGAATAGATAAACTTCTTTCTTGAATATGACTCCTATTCGTATGGGGGTAGAAGTAGGTTGACTTCCTAAAAGGTTAACCACTTACCCTCTCGTGTGAACCCTAATGAATAAAAAAAGAAAAAGGAAAGTTTTTGTAAGGCTTAATTTTTAAAAAAATAAAACTAAGACAAAGAGTATTTCAGAAATATTGCATTCAAAAAAAAAAAATAACACTTATTTTTAAAATCATATTATTTTTGAAGGATTAAAAATCTTATCTTATATATATAAATGTTACTGAATAATAGGTCAGCAATTACAAAAGGATAAATAAATCTTATGAAAGCTCTCATTTTCAAAAATAAATAAATAAATGTTCTTATATTGACATATAATTAACGCCACTAAAATTACTCTTTTTGCCCCCATTAAAGATATTATTTTTTTTTCCTAAAAACTATACACACAAAAACTTAAAACTCAATCGTCAATTGTCTTGATATTAATTTTATAATAGATAACATTTTCAAGACATGAAAATCTGTATGGGACACTAAAAAAGAAAACCTATCGGGGACAATTCTAAGGCATTAATAGAACTTATTTTGATTAAATTTTGTTTTAGCTGTTTGCCCCCATGATATAAACTTCTGATTCTGTCACTGCTTATTTTGATTTTCTTTTTCTTCTACTGCTGCCCCGTAAGTTTTAGTAATCAAAATAATTACCAGTTGTTATATTAGTGCATTCTGAAATTGCTGATCAATATAATTATGAAAATTACTTGCAATAAGTATTAACATAGCAGTTATACGAAAGAAAATATTCAAACTAATGATACCCAAAACATTAATCCTTTTGAAAATTATGGTAGGATTGATAACTGAAAGGTAAGAATTTTCTTTTTAATTTTTCAATAGATAAAAAATTTTCAGTTGTAAAAAGAAGGTATAACGTAAATTCAAAAAACTTGCAAAAAAATTTAGAAAAAGTTAATTGACACAAATACTCCCTTAACTTTCATATAGTGACATTTTGATTTCTAGACTTTTAATTTTGATTTATTAGTCCTTAAAGTTTCAGTTTTTGGTAGTTCTCTGATACTAAAACTAATGAATAATTTTTAAAATTTAACAATGATGATCACGTATTAATCGCGTGAGTACATAAAATTTTGCGAGGGAGTACATTACATGTAGAATTCTATCTTTATTACTATTAAAACTTATTGAAAACTATAACATTTTACACATACTATAACTATTTATGTAAAATTTTCAGTTGTCATGCAATAAGGATGTGATTATTTTTACTAAATTTCAGAAAACATTCATCAAATTTGATGTCAAGGACCAAAATTGTCGAAAATCAAAAGTTCGGGAGCTAATATGTTAAAATTAAAAATCTAAAGACCAAAATTTCCATTGTGCTCAAAGTTGAGGACTATTTTTGTCAATAACTCAAAAAAGAGAAAAATAACAATCCAACCCGGCTAGGTAAAAAACTCTTAGGTGTGTTTGGAATTGATCTTTTATTATTTTTAAAAACGTTCTTGCACACATTTTGATGCACGAAAATAAAAACGATCTGCAAACCGTATTTATTTAGCAAATGTTTTGAAAACGAAAATGAAAACAAAAAAGAATGAGAAGGGCTCTCATAAAGAAATTACAAAACGACTGAGAGTTATTTTTCCTTTTTTATTTTTATTTTCTAGTATTTATCAACAATGTTATATATATTAATTAATAATTATAATTAAATACAATTTCACTTTTTTATTATATTAAAAATAATTTATTAAAAAATTAACTAAACCCAATTTCATAATCATGCATTAAAAATAAAATCATTGAACTCGTGTCTTCTAAACCCAGCCAAATTAACAGGGATAACAACTTAAAATTATAAAAGTCTAAGTTAAATAAGCACGCTCGGTGGGACTCGAACCCACAATCGTTTGATTAGAAGTCAAACGCCTTATCCATTAGGCCACGAGCGCCTTCTCGGTGACTATTGGCTCCATTATTTTTTAAAAGAAGATCCTATCACGTAATTGTGTCAATTTTGCAATAGATGCGTCACTTCTTTTCATCTATGCTAGGCCTGATGTCTTCATGCTCCATATCAATCAATTTGTTCATTTATTTTGATTTTGCTTCAAGAGTGGCCAGAATATTTTAGGATCTTTTACATGAAATAGGTTTTCTGTCTCACATGGTTAGTAACACTTGATATCGGTTCCTATCCAAATTACAGGTGATATGTTTCTTAAAATAAAATTACTTATCCAGTTTATAAGCTTTTCATTTGGCAAAGGAAAAATTGTTTATTATTTATTAATTATTAATAATATATATATTTAAAATCAGCAGTAAAGTTTTGAGTTAGCTTTTTTGATTTGTGTTACATTTCTTTGTTACTTAGCATTTCGAAAGCCATCTTGAGTATCATGTGCTTGTTAAAAGTTTTGAGTCAGCTATGTTGATTTTCACCACACATCTTTTTCTTTTTTTTTTTTTCTTTTATTATTACATTTTGAAGGCGTTATGACCACGTTTTTTTATTTTTTTTAGTTTTACCTTACAATATGACAGTTTCTATGGTTCTAAAAGTATACACTTTCATGTTCTTTATATATATAAAGCGAAAGTTAAAGTTTTCCGACTAATATTTTACCATGTTGGCTTTATAGGTTATTTTTCTCTTTTCATTTTGATCTTTCAAAATCTATAGGCCAAATGCCGACTAGATAAGGATCTAATATAAATATTTCTTAGTTCACATTTTAAGCTTCTTTAGGTCAGTTGATCTTTTTGAGCAATAACATTCTATTCAGTGGGGCTAATTATTTTAAAAAAAAAATAATGATAATAAGATCATAGTATAGATTTTTAATTTTTAGTAGGAGTTATGTGTATATTGATATAATAAATTACATATTTATGTTTATTTTGTTAAAGAAAAAATAAGTTGATGAATTTTGCTATTAAAAATCCAAAATTACTCGAGAAGGAATGAATTAAAATATCATTTTTGTTTACTATATTATAGTTTGCTAAATTTCCTTTGATTTCTTGACATTTTTTATTTACCTTTTTTGAAGCCATCTGGAGGATCGTCTACTTGTTTTGCCTCTTTTAGCTTTCTAATTCCAGTTCATGACAATCTTCAATGTTTGCAAAAGTGTAGACACCAGTACTATAAACACACATCAATGAATATTGCTATATTGAGATGCAAATGTTTAAACAAAATTTCACATTCTCCAAAAATTCTCGGTCACCAATAGATTCTCAGAAAGAAATATAAGGAATCTAAATCCAAGGAATTGGTAGGAACAAATTGAACAAACTCTGCAGTAAACTTTTACAACTAAAAGAAAAATGTATGCTTTATTTTCTTCACAATCAATCTGATGGCTTTAATAGGTTCAGAAAACATCAGAGAAAAAAACAAAACTTATCACTCCTAAGATTTAAGAATCTCATTGCTGCTGGTTTTATATTATACATCTGCTAAAAAGTGATCCTGATGATCTCATCACATGGCCGCTTCTCCTTGCCTTACACCAACACATTTAGCAAATATGGAGAACTTAGATTAAACCAGTTTTGTTATTTAAATTATGGCTTAGAGCATAAGGAACTTTTCTTTCGAAAAAAGAGAAAAGGAATATATCAAAGAATTTTTGGTCTTACCTTAATCATTAAGTTGTTGGTTTTTTGTGTTTTTCCATGATTCAAAGCTGATGCATTTTTTTGTTCAGGTTCAGCTTCTAATAGTTGGAGTGACAGTCTCAAAAGCCTCTACAAGCAGCTTCACTTTCCTTTTTCGCGCCGGAGTTAGTTGGGTAACTGCCTGTTGAAGTGCATAATCAAGCATCCATTCTTCAGCACTTCTCTTCTCATCCATTGCCAGATGCTTTAGGTTGACCTTTTCTGCTTCCGGGTCAGCTTCCAAGGGCAAAAATCTCGGGCCTCTGGGGTTGAATTTCCTCGCACTCTCCAATGCTTTGATGAATCTTTTAAGCAGAATCATTTTCTTCAGGTTGCTCCAGCTCCTTGGTATTTGCTTGTCAACCGAAATCTTTCGTTCTTCTTGAAGGGTTGTATCAGTTGAATATTCCGGATTTCTACAATCCTCTCCTTCTTTCTTGCTGGACTCTCCGTCGCTTTCATTCGAAGAGTTGGCGGAATCTGAGTTGAATGGTTCTCCTTCAAGTTGAATTCCTTGGCGTTTTTCATCTGGTATCAAGTGACCCCCAGTTGAGTTATCCTGATTCTCGGGAAGTAGGATTTCATCAATAGCCTTTTCTATTAACTTTATAGCTTCGAAACGTCCGAGGGCAGCCTTTTGGTCATCTGCAGCTTCATCTTTCTTCATTGTATCCTCATCCTTTTCAGGAATGTCTGTTGTTGACATCGTCGTGGTGTCGTCCGCTGCTTCCCCGTCCGCGTCATCTTGTAAATTTGTTCCCTCTTTTGCATTCATACCTGTCATCATGTGCTTATACACAAAGCCCCAAAGTCGGATGTATGATTGTTTCTCGAACTGAGCGTCTTGTGTTACATCAGACTCCGATTCTTCACTTGGAGGAGATCCTTGTGCGAGCTTGGATTCAGGCGCATCTTTTTCTGTGATTGATTCTGCATCATCAACTGGGGACTGGTTTCTTGATGTATCAAGTTGTTCACTATCTGCATTGCCTATATCCTTGGTATCACATAATTCATCACCAGCATTGCCAGGTTCCAAAGTCATGCTCATGTCAAGTTTCTTTTCGACCTCTTGAGCACTGCCATTATGCAAAACTTCATCACAGGTGCTCTTAGTGTCATCATCATTCAGCTCACCAAATGATCTGTGAGGAACTATTTCATCTAAACAAGTACTTAAGGAATCGGGTTGATCACTCGGGAGAATGACTTTGCTTTCTTCGATCTTCAGAAACTCCACTTCGTCTTCTGGATCTTCCTTGACAAAGTCACTAACTTGGTCCATATAGTCCTTTCCACTTTTGGCGTTAGGTGATGTTTCCCCCACCGAAACTTCAGCACAGTTTCCTTCATCAGTTTCTTTACCTGTTTTCTCACCAGTCTGGACTAGCACACTATTGCAGGCTTTAACTTGATCTACATTCAGCTTTAGGCTTGATTTATGGTCCGGCAGCGGAAGAACTGTTTCAAAAGCTTTTACCAGCATTGCTACTTTTCTTTGTTGAGCAGGGTCAAGTTTAGAAATAACCTTCTGAAGTGCAAAATCAAGCATCCATTCGTCTGCATTCTTTCGCTCTTCTGATGTTTGGCGCCTCAGTTTAACCTTTTCCGCTTCAGGCTCGGGCTGCAAAGGTAGAAACCTCGGCATCCCTCTATTAATTTTCTTCATCTTTTCCAGTGCTTTGACAAATCTCTTGAAGACAATGATCTTCTTCAGATTACTCCAGCTCTTAGAAGCTTTCTGGTCTGGTTTGTCCCCTGCCTTTGATGATGTTTTCTCTTCTTTCAAACTGCCTGTGTTCTCAGCTCCAACTGTTCTTTCCTTGTCGTCAACTTGAACTTGTGCAGAGATTTCGTGGTCTGAACTGATGCCACTTGTAATTGATCGATCGTCAGATGAGAGTTCCTGAATTTCGGGGAGAAGGATTTGATCAAATGCTTCTTGTACCAGCTTAACAGCATCATTCTGGTAGGATCTGATTGGCATATCTTGATCCATTTCAGATGAACCTTGAATAGTCTGGGATGATTCAACTAGGATTTGGGCATCTCCAACTTGTTCTGTCTTGGCCACTCCCTCAAGAGGGGGCTGGTTTTCGACTTCTCCAGCGACTCCTTTTACCGCATGCTTGTACATCAACCGCCACATCCGTACATATTTCTGATCCTTCAGCTGCATTCTTTGTGCTGCATTGTTGGTACTTCCAGGCTCCGAATCTCGAGGAGGGAACAGAAAGAAGGCATGATCTGGCTCCAAATTTTCCTTCTGTTCTTTATTGTTAACTTCTTGTCCATTCCCTAGCTCGTTTTGAGATGCAAAAGAGGCCTCAATATTGCTTGTTGTTTCAACATATTCATCCGGGCTAGTCCTTGCCAGTTCATCAGCTAATTCGGAACCATTGAGAACAGAATCAGCGTCTCCATCTTCTTGTTTTGATGCAACAGAATCTTGCTCTTTATCATTTGATTCAGAATCTGGTTTTTCACCAACCAGGGTCTCGGAAAGACTTAAATGCTTGCTGTACTTCACGTCTTCTTCATCATAGTTGCTGAATCCATTTGACTCGGTTTCTGGTCCAGCATTGATCTCTAAGGAAAAGTCCTTATCAAGCTCTTCCACAAGATTTTTCTGAATTCCTTTCTTAGCCTTAGCAAAACATCTCTCTCTACGAACAGGTCGATTTTCCTGCCTCATACGCCTTCTAATCGATATCAAACGCTTCAAAGGCGGCGCACTGGCGTGACGATGTCCATGAAGAGAGCAATAACTGAATGGACAAACCTTCAATGCAGAAATCCCTTCTGATTCACTCCCTCCTTCATGAAGCTGCAGCGAGTCAGCGAACTTCGAGTCCTTAAGAGTCGAAGAACATGTCGCTCTTTCGACGCCGGAGTCAGAAATCTGAGAGATTTCGGAGTGGATTTTCATGGAACCTCTCTTGGATTTAGTTGATGTCCTCAAAGGCTTCAAACTAGCTTTCCTTGTCAAAGTCCTTGCGGATTTCTGACCAGGAGATGTTGTTGAGTTTGGCTTTGAAAAAACTGATCTCCCTTTTGTCCTATCACTACTACTACTAAAACCATTTTCAGAAGTGCCAGGACTTGCCTGAATCTGCATCTTCCTAGCATTGGACTTGGAAGAATTCGGGGTCGAAACGACGGAAAACTGATCAGGGTCTGACTTAGAATTCACAAGCCTAGTTGATCTAGAATACTCCATTTGACCAAACTCTTTTCCTCCAGAGAATTTCCTCATCAGTGGCTTTCTCAATCTCTTGCTAGACATTCTTGTCAAACTCTTCACTCCCTTAAAACTAGACCGTCTTGTTAAAGGTCTTGCTAATTTCTGAAGCAAAGAATTGACAAAAAGGAAAAAAAAAAAAAAAAAAAAAAAAGAAAAAAAAAAAAAAAAAAAAAAAGGACAGATACATAACTAAATAATTGAAAATTTTGATGTTTAAACAAAGTATTGTACTGAAACAAAAGGAAAGAATTGGTGGGCTTACCTTGGAAATATCTGTTTTTGCATCAAAGTTAAGGCTTGAGAATTGAGATGATGAAGATGAATATGGTGAGTTTTCTGCTTCACTGGAGATGTCAACGACAATGTTTCTGAAACGGGATTTTGGTCTTGATCTTGTGGATGGTTTCAAGGTTGGTGATTTGGAGAGCTTGATTGATCTCAACTTCTTGAATTTCTTCTTCTTGGCCTCTTGTTCTCCATAACAGGTTGATCCAACGGTCACTGACAGATTCTCAGCCTCCATAATTGTTTTTCTGAATCACTGACAAATCCAAGCTTGGTTTTTGGTTGTTTCTGACTTCTGAGCATCCACCAAACCAAGAATGGTAATTCTGTTGTAAAAGACAAAGAAGTTTCTTCTGGGGTGTGTAAGAAACAAGGGAATATTTCAAACTTAATTCTTTTTTTTTCTTTTTTAAGCTATAGGACTTCTAAAAACAAAAATGTTAGCGCGATTGAGCAAGTCATCAATTTTTAATAGAGATATATACGCCTTAGAATTATTTTTATTTTTATTTTTTACGTTTTTAAAGAAAAATAAATAAAAATAATTTTAAAACAGTATTTAATATAATTAAAAATAAAAAATAAAAATAATTTTTTAATTTAATGTAAAATGAGAGAGAAATAAAAAATAATTTTTTATAATTTTTTATTTTTATTTTTTTCTCTTTCAAAAGAAAATAAAGACATTAATAAATTTTTTTATGTTAAAAATAATTTTTTAATAAAATTATTAAATATATTTTTAAAAATAATTTTCATTTAAAATTAAAAATATTTTTATTTTTATTTTTATAAAAAAAAATTATTTTAAAACGACTTTTAAACGCGTCTATAATATTTTTTTGAATGAGGTTGAGGTGAGGACTTGGATTCTTGACTTGGTACAAGACAATTAGCACAGGGAAACTTGACTTGGCAATATCTTTGGATTGGCTGTCTCAATCATAATGCGCATTTCACAAGGGAGATAAAAATAAATGGAAAAAAAAAAAAAGAAGCAAACTTGTTCCTTATATCTCTTAAAAAGTGATTGGAAAATTCCCATTTGATTAAAGTAACTAACGGGAATTTCCCAGATGTATTAGTGACTATAAATGACACCTAAAAAGAAAGGTGGAAAATGATGGGAAAAGGTGTGTTGAGAAAGTCTTAAATGTGGTGAAGAGTAACGTGAATATCATTATTACTTGCAAGCACAGTTTCTCATTTTGACTTGTGAGGCCACTTGTTTGGATGCCACTGTTATGAGGTGTAAAACTCGAATAACGAATTAAATAGACCTTAATTTATTTGTTGAAAAAACTCAATAGACCAAACCAAATTAAATACTTGAAGTTACATATGAAAATGAAAAGAAAAAAAAATTGGAGAGGTGCTAAATTTACCGTGAGTGACGCGGATTTAAAATCTAAATTGTTTACTAAAATAAAATTTAAGCGGGTCATATAACAAGATCCAGAAGAAAAATAGTTTAAGATCTTAAATGCGAACAACTTGTAAGTATGCTTAGTATTTTACTTTAAGGTAAATTTTTTAGTCCATATGTTTGAATTTGTAATTTACACTAAATATAACCCACCATGAAATCACACATCATGTAGATCATACCTTTTGAAATTATCTATTTAGTTTAGATTTGCATGTGCAGTTCATAATTTTTGCTCCTATACGTATGGTTTGCTTTTTTATTGTTGTAATTATTCGCTTTATGACAGATGCATATATGAATTTTTTTGTGGACGTTTAATTTATATATTTAAAATAATAATTAAAAATTATTTTTATTTTATGTATATTTTTTATAAAAAAAATATTATAAAAATTTATAAATCATGATTAAAATAAATAATGAATACAATAAACATCCTCTACAGTCATGACTTAGTCGTGACATAAGAGAGATTGATTCCCTCATCCCAACTCCCAAGGAAAGAAAAGCTCCGTGACATCATCAGTGTATCTCTTTACACCTTTTTTTCTTTTTCTTTTTTTCCTGCTTGCTTTTAATGCTATGTTTGGTAGGAAAGAAAAAAATATGATAAAAAAAAATATATAGAAGTGATAGAAAATAATAATGATAGAAAAGAAATTGATTTTTTTTTATGTTATTTGGTATGAGAATATGAAAAGAAAATGAGCTTACCTTCACTTGTTTGGTAGTGGAAGTTAAATTGGGAGAAAAGAAAAAATCTTACTCATAAATTACTTTTATACCCTTAAATTTTTTACTTGGATGTTGATGGAGAAAATGATAGTTTAGTAATTTTGCTCATTTTAATGAGTTGTCCCTATTTTCCATCCCATTTTCTGCTCACTTGTGGAAAAAAAAAATAGTGGGGCCCACATGTATTATTTTCCACTCTATTTTCTCTTCATTTCTCTTTTCTCTCTTACCAAACAACCTACATTTTCATTTTTCCTCCTAAAATCTTTCCACCTTCTTCCTTCATTCTACTTTTTTTTCCTACCAAACATACTAAATGTTTTTTTGTGATCTTCTACGGTTGATTCACATGAAACTGTGGGGCCTGGAATCAGGTTTTCATGATTTTTCTTACGTGGAGTTGTCCTGCTAGTCAATACAAAAAGAAATGCTGGTGCTTTGTGCACGTAATCTAGAACACTGACGTTTTTGACAGCTTGAGAAATAATTTTCCTTTTCTTTTACAAAAGTTTGACAGACTAAGGGGTTGTTCTTTTGAGTATAATTTGAGTGTAGTTTTTGAGTTAAATTTGAGTTATAACTTGAGTTGAAGTTAGAATTTAAATAAAATTAAGTAAAATTGAATAAAATTAAAACTTAAAAAAACGTAAAATTAAATAAAATTAAAACTTGAATTGTCTTTAATTTTTTAGATAAAAGAACATGCCCTAAAATTGGACACTCATTAGTTGGACTTGGACCTGGCACCGACCACGAATGTAAAAAAAAACGCGTAGAGAAATGGTTGTCTGGACCCACAAACATTTTGCTCGGCTGTGATATTCTTGTTCCCATGTGATTCTCCGAATCAAGCGGTCTTCGTCTCTCTAGTGTCGTTTTGGTCCATACTGTTGTCGTTAGTCGTACCAAGATCATAAAAAATATACACTATTTATATTTATCAAAGAAAGGAAAAAGGAGATATTAATCGTAATCGATCCTAAAAGGCCATATTGTTAAACCGATTCAACTGACTATGATATTAGGCTCCACACTGTTTTAAATGTTAATTTCTAACCAATTAAAAACCTCATAGGAAAAATTATCACCGGTAATAATTAGGCCTTGTTCATTTCACCGATTCGAATTTTCAGTTTTATATTTTTACAGTAAAAAGCTCTCAGAAAATATCACATCTCAGCTTAAATTAAAAACTCGAATCTGCAAAGTGAACGAGACCTTAGTGATTTTTTGTTTTGTTTTTTTACTAAATTGGTGTAAAAAAGCATTTTTCTTTTTAGAAACGTCATAATCTCATGATATAAATTTTTGTCATAATCTCAGGAGGATGCTACTGAATAAGGATATAATCGCATGATCAACTGGCAGTAAATGTGTATAAACGGGCCCATTCATTTCGTTGATTCGAGTTTGTAATTCGAGTTGAGATGTAATTTTATGTGAAAACTTTTTACTGTAGCAAAAAATTTAGATGTGATTATTTTTTAGAACTTTTTACTGTAACAAAATTCAAATTCTAAACTCGAATCGGTGAAGTGAACGGGCCTCTATTCATTTGGCTTTTAATAATATGGTCTTCAACCATCTGCTCACTCAATTCGAGTTGTACAACAAATATAAGCGTGCAGAAGGCTTGAAAAAATTCATATTTTAGGCATACTTTTACTCTAAACAAAAATTTTGAATTATTGAATTATTAAAAAAAAACCAAGTGTAAAAGGGTTAGGGAAATGAATTTTTCAGACTCGGATCTTTCAAAGACGACAAATGTCTTTGCTTTAATTTGAGTAAACTTTATGGTCCTGTTCATTTCACCGATTTGAGTTTAGAATTCGAGTTTTGCTACAGTAAAAAGCTCTTAGAAACACATCTAACTTTTTTACTAAAGTAAAAAATTCTCACATAAAGTCACATCTCAACTCGAATTAAAAACTCGAATCAGCGAACTAAACAGGCACTATATCTAGCAACGATATACATTGTCACTAAATGGTTCGCGGCAACTATTTGTTTGTGGATTTATTTCCGCTAGGTAATTAGCGACGAGAAAAGTTTAGCAAACAGTGAAGAAAACTTTAGTGACAAGCATTTCTTCAGTTACGAAGAAACATCACGAACAAATAGTTTAGACACAATAAAACATAAAGAACAACAAACCACATATCTCAACAACATTCTTGGTGCAGTGGAAAAGAGAGAGGGAAAAAAAAACACAGACAAATACATGCAACGAATTAATACGAAATAAAAGGATTCCGCCTTATACTTCACGACGACATTACCACGTTCTTTTGCATCACCATGCAGACGTTCTACGATAGCATTGCGACAATTAATAGGTGTTAGAAGGGATCCCAGATGTCCAGGGGAAAGGCTGCAGATAGCTGCAGCAGTTGCTCTAACAGCTAATTTGGATGAAAGAGCGAAATTTATAGAGCGTGTAAAGTCATCTCAAAAAATGCATTCGTGTCTGTGACAGCGTCATTGATGGTAGTTTCGCCCCCATCACACGTCAACACCACCATCAATCCAGCCGGTAACGTTGGTCGATTTTGAATCGGCGATGGGAAAGGACATTCCACAAGACCAGATTCTTAATATGTCTCTACTTAAACATGTTTTTTTTTTCCCGCGACCTCTTCAAATAGCATTTTATCTTATGTGCCCCCAAGTAAACGATGATTTTGATAATAACAAACAAATAATTGTAAGATTTACTAATAATTTTATCTTGAGTGCGCAAAGATTTAGCAAAGAGAATTGGAACACAATCAAGGTTTCGGAATCAAATTATTTGAAGATGGACTGAAGCTTGAAGACTTAAAGAATATGCAAGACTAGTATATTATTGGTTTATATTCTTAACTTAGTCTTGTATTGATTGTGTGAGTATTCTATCAATTCTTGTTTCATGGTTATGACTCTTGCACACACTCACATTCAAATTTCACATTCTCTCAAAATGACTTTAAATTAGTTTAAATCAAGTCACACATGCTTTAAAATTGATTTTAAATTGTATTATACTCATAATAATGCTTTAAATTCAAATTTGGACTTCTAGAAGCATAAAACATGACAAAATTATTGTAACCGGATGATATGGGTCGACCGGTGTTAGATCTTCAGTAATTTTAACGGCCGACTGGTGAACATGAAAAACTGTTTTTATGCTTCTACAAGTTGACCGGTTACTGTTCAACGGCTATATTTTTTAC